ATAAAATTGAAGAAAATGGAATATTTAAATAAAATTTAACGCGCGGGAAATAAAATTAAGGAAAATGAAACAGGAAAATAGAACTGAGGAAAAAATAAAATTGATCCCACGGGAAATGAAATATTTAGGAAAATAGAATCGAGAAGAAAAGCTTGTTAATTAGTGGAATTACTTTATCTCGACAATTCTACTCCAATTTTTTGTCACGTTTGATGATATACGAGTAGCAACGATATTCTTTCGGACCTTCGTAGTATTTATGTAATTGCGTGCAGATTTTTATGGAAAGATAATGCCTGTTGTTCGAAATCAACACGTATCGCCTTACGCCCTCGCGTGGAGAGAAAAAAAATTATACACTTGGTAGTAAATATTTACAAAAACTAACACGTGTCTTGCGAAATCATGGGGTGAATGATTAGCGTAGGATTAATGGAGATAATACCATGTTTATGATACAAATTAATATACAAAAAATAAAAAATTAATAAATCTTTTCTTTCCTTTTAAAATTTTAATCATTTTCATACATCTTTTCGTAAATTAATATTAGCCCCTTGAATAATCAGCAGTAATTTTTCAAAAATAAACTCGCGTAATGCAATTTACCATCGCTGCATAATTGATTTCAATTGATAAAGAAAAATTTGATTATCTAGTTGAAAGATTTTGTTAGAAAGAATTAGTGTCCTTTCATGAGCCGTCGTTATAATGATTTTTCCCAGTGAAAGGGTTAAAAACATCGTGAAAAATAGTAAATACTGAGATAAAAAATTAAAAAATTGAATGAAACAAATATCAATTAAGAAAAAAAGGTTAAAATTCGATCGATACTAAAGGAAGATTCCGCTCGAATATTCGCGGTGATCATTACAGCCGACGGAGGCGCTTGTTTCGCGACATCTTCCGCGCGCGTACTGAAGTTTTTCCTCCAATTACCGCGTTCTTGTACACAGTCGATAGTCTGGTAAAGTTTCACGTAGTCTGCGGTACGTATCAGCTGTTCGGTGACAGTTTGCCAGCCGTGAGAGTAGAGTGTCGAGGTTTATTGTTTGGAAAGCAATATGGCTATCTGGTGATTAGTAACAGTGCGATACGTAGACAAAGGAGCAACGCAGTGCTCATGTTATTTGGAGACGCGTTGCGCGTTCTGTTCTAGTTTTTAATTGAATAAGGAACAAAGGGGATTCGGTAGAATGTTGGAACTCGAGGTGGTGCCCGAAAGATCCCTCGGCTGCGAGCAGTGGGAATTTATTTTAGGCAAGTGACGAAACACCCGCGATGTATCGCGGCTATGCCGTATTACGCGCAATTTTACCACGATCGAATTATTCGAAATAATCGGGAAAATGATTAACCAAACCCGAATCCTCGACTCTCAGCGTTCTAAAGAGACTTATCGATGTTGCTGTCATGTCGCATTCGCACTTCGCTATTTCGTTCTATTTGTAAACACCTCGTTTGACAATCGCGCGTAAACAAAGAAAATGGTGCTTGTTATGAATATTTTGTTCCCTATTATGTAATTGTTTACACGTATTGCCTCACTGAGGAGGCTTTTTGTGGTAGACAGTCAGCTGAAAGGTTGATAATTTAGTAGGATATTGATGTTTGATTGAGATATCACCGTTGAAACAGGTGTATCTTTAATGAAAATTATAGGATTATGTTAAACATCTTGTTTGATATAATGCGTAGTTAGGGAAAACAAAATGATGCATATTGCATTATCTTGAAGAATTATATTTTCTAATAGGGTCATTGTTACAGGTATGCATTTTTCCCAGTCCGTGTCAATAATACAATCTCAAGTGGGCATTATAAGGGGAGTACAAGTACTTTATAGCGATAGTGTGAGTATAGATAATTCGTGGAGATTTAATTAGATTGTTATTGTTCAGCTTTATAGCTTTGCATAATTAATATGTATGTGTTGCAGAATCCTTTAGATGTAGATTTAGTTATAAACTTACCTCATGATGGAGTACGGCTTATATTTGACCCTGTGGTGCAAAGGCTCAAGATAATTGAAATTTACAACATGAAATTAGTTAAACTGAAATACTGTGGTTTGCCGTTCAATTCGCCAGAGGTTTTACCATCCATTGAACAAATTGAGCATTCGTTTGGAGCAACTCATCCGGGTGTTTATGATAGTGATAAACAAGTATGGTATTTCCATCTAAGTGAGAACTTTTTAATACAAATCCGAAGGGTTAAAGACTGTTGTTTCTAGGTATTCGTATTGAACTTTCGAGGACTATCATTTTACTTCCCCATTGATTCAAAGTTCCAACCCGGATATGCACATGGATTAGGGTCGTTGCAATTTCCCAATGGGACATCCCCCCTTGTAGCCAAAACAGCCATTTATGTTGGCAATATGGGTGCTGGAGGCGGAACTGACGAGCACAATTTAAAAGCACCGCCGCCACCTCTGCCGCTTGTAATTATTTTTTGTTGGTGTTCTAATTTAGATTATATACCTATTAAAACAAGATCGGCGCTACATAATCATGTTTTGCTAGGTCTGCTATCATAACAATTTGTATTTAGAAAAAGCAGATGTTATGCGAGACAAAACATGTACGCAAGGTCTCAGATTGCATCTCTTCACCGAAGGTAGCTCGGTAACAAGGGTATTACTGGAGCCGAAGAAGCGCTGCTTAACCAAAGAGGTTACATTTTATAATTTAGTTCGTAGTATAACTTTAGTATAGTCTAAACTTCGTTAGACATAATAAATATATATACTTTAAAGTAAGTAATTTAATAAGGAAGCACTTAGAAATTTTGCTTAACTTGAATTTACTTTCTGCTCTGCTCTCTGTTTTTGTGTACAATATGTACAATTATAGGTGCTATTTGGGGACACTTGTGAAGATGTGCTGAGTGCTTTGGGGGCACCATCTCGAGTGTTTTTCAAAGCTGAGGATAAAATGCGTATTCACAGTCCTCACGCGCACAAACGCGATAAAATAAGACGGTCGGATTTCTTCTATAACTATTTTACCTTAGGACTGGTAAATTTCCACTCTTAATACATTACACACAAATTACCCAGGGCATTATAATTTTAACATGTATCATCGTTGCGAGTTTTCGTTAATTTTTCCTCCAGAAAATAATTCCATTGAATCGGGAAAGCTTATTGATGTTTCCCCTTCTCCAGTTACGGTACGATACACATATCTACGTTTCTTCTATTAAAAATATGTTTATATCTTACTCATAAATAAAACTTACACTTCGAACAAACAACGAGAGTATTGGACGAGTCGGCTGATAAAGTGTTCAAGATTACGACGGTTTTAATGAAGTATTTATTTTTCAGATCACTGCCTATACGAAATGGGATAGAATAAGCGAACAGTTGAAGGCAAGCGCACGACCTGTTATACTGAATCGTGCGTCTTCGACGAACACAATAAACCCATTTGGATGTACGTTCTGTTACGGTATACGCGACGCGATCGTTGAGGTCATGGCGAATCAACACATTGCGAGTGTAACTCTGTACAGAGCGGTGTGACCTTAAATTATTTACACAATATGGTGCATTATAGAGCGCTCATCGACGAGCAACATGAAGGAGCGGCGTTTCGGAATGATGAAAAGAAAACAAAAAAAAAAAACAAAAACAAAAATAGCCAAGTTTTAAATGTCGGTAATTGCATAACAACATCTACTTGAGAAAAGACTGTGCCATGCAAAGAGAAGTGTTGAGAGTTGGAAATGCATGCGAAATCCCTGATGCGGTTTCTTTTTTTTAACACTAACGTTAACGACACATTGAAATGCAAGAATCTTAGATTTAAAAAAAAGGAGAAAACACAAAAAAAAAAAACAAAACAAAAACAATAATAACGTGTGATTATTGAAAAGGCAATGGCGGTATAAAGTTCAGAGAAACCGAGGGATATCATTTTGAATATCACATATTGTTGCTTGTAACGTTTTACATTTTCTTCTCCTTGGGAGTCAAGGAAATAAAACCAAAAAAAGGAGGAAAAAAACACACACACACACACACACACACACACGAGAAAAAGCAAAAAGACGATCAACTAAGAGGTACAAGTGTCTGCAATATTCAATAATATCATATTTAATATACCGTTTTTATCTTTTGGTTATAAGTTTTAAATATATAGTTAAAGAACAAAAGAAAAAAAAGAAAAAACATGGTCTTGCGTGAGCGATCAATATTGTAATATCTGAGCTCGATGATAAAAGAAAAAAAAACAGAAGTAAAAGCATAAAAAAAAAAAGAAGAAAAAGGGAAGTAGTTCCAGAGGATAATAAGAATTTTGATAGTTAACGATAAATCTACGATGATTATAACGACAGTAACGATTAATAACGATAAAAAACATAATAACGTGCTTAGTGCAAGTAAAAGAAAAAGAAAAAAAAAAGAAGATATCTAACTTTGGTAAATGGAAATTTTGTAACGCGTGTTTGAAATAACGAACGAAGAGAAGAGTGGCGAATGACGAGTGCAAAAATGATGTTTTAGATGTATAAATCAACGAGGCGCGCGTAATACATGTACGAATGGCATTCGGTCTATTCGATCCGTGCAGATGTGAACAGTAAAATTGTAAACTACTGTAACCTACTGTAGGTTAAATTTCTTTCAACGACAGACTAACGATAATAGTCTGAGGAAAATCTATCCCTAAACGATAACGATCGTTTAAAATGCTGCGTTTATCGGTACAGGGGGAATTAAATTCATGGCCTGTTTTTTTACGCTCTTATCTATAAAACACTGATCATTGTGATACGCAGAATTTCGAGGCGCGATACAATTAGAACTTCTTTGCATTAACACAAACGAAAAAGCGACAAAAAAACAAAAAAAAAAAAAAAGAGGAAGAAGATGAAGAAGAGACGAAGAAACGATTAATTTAGTTGATTACTTTTCTTATACATTTTTGTGCCGTTTAAATAATACTTGCGAACATAAGCGTACTCGCAGAACTCGATTAGTCTTTAACCTTTTAGTCGTGTAATGCGGAATATATCACACCATGAATTTATCACAAAGCTTACGATACCACACACACACACACACGGAAAGTTTGTTATTATTTCTTTCTTTCTTACAAATTCGACCTCACCCTTGATGTTAAATTGCACAATCGTATTGTATACCCTATTTCGAATCGTTCCTGCTAATTCTGTAGGGTATAAAGAATGTTTTATGTATCGTATTAACTTCGATATAGTTGGTAATCTATACAGCGATTATAAAGTCTGTAATGAGTAATAATCGTAAAATATAATTAAAGATCGTTCGATGGAACGCTTGAAGTATGGACGCGATCGTTACTTTGAATTAACACTTTTTCACTGCACAGATTTATGGTAATTTTATCCTTCCTGTTCGGACGAAAGAAAAAGAAGAAAAGTTTCGTGGTCCATATTTTCAACAGATCCAACAAACCTCTTGTGAAATTGTTCTGTTTTCCATTATCGGAATACGGATGATCTTTTTTCCTTTCAAAGTGCAAATTTTGAAACGCCAAGTGATCTCAATGTGTCGAGATTCGCGAATTCAAGAGAGAAAAAAACGAGGGAGTAATTTCAGCGTTTATTGAAAATGTTAATCGACGCATAAGTGTACAAAAAAGAAAGAGAACGACAAATTTGAGAGACGTAGACCCGCGTGTGCAATTTGAAAGTAAAGAAAATTGTGGCTGTTCTCGTTTCTCAAAATTCTATTTCGATGGAATACCTACTGTTTTGTCTGACTGGGCAAGGTTAAACTGTTTTGCGTGGAGATTATTTTCAAGTGAATATATAGAGCATAGAATTCGTTGAACTAATGCTCACCGAAGCATTCGCAACTGATGCAATAGCAGATTGATAAAAAAAACTAACCAAATCGGTGGAACGTTCGGAAATTGTATTCTCTGTATAATTATTTGTGATAATTGTCCCCGAGAAATCTCTCTATTTAGTTTATACAAAAATAAAAAAAGAATAAATCATTTTGTATCGAATGGATTATAAAATTCTGTAAAACGATTTTTCTATAAATCATTTTTCCTCGAAATTTCTCACCTCACTGATCCTTGCGTTTGTTTCGATTTTTCTACATAAATTATCGAACGTCTAGTTTGATAAATTCTTAATTATGTAATTACGATTCAACTCGGAAGTCTTATATTGGAACGCAATAAAATAGCGAATTCTTTTTTTAGCACTTACCTGGTTACTTTCTTTTGCGCGCGTTTTTCAAAGCGTCCAATCCGTACGCGATGTAATTCTTCTGTTTCAATTCCGAACTGCGAGACGATTTGCACCAGTTCATCTTGATTTCGTTTAATCTGTCTCCCTGTGTCATGATCCGTGTGTCGACGTTCTTGTATTTCGTTGCAGGTCTCTCTGAATCGTCCGATCCTCTGATATTCTTCAGTTTTCCTGTAAATAAAGAAACAAGAAATTCATTTTTAATATGAATATGCGCAGTACTGAGAAAAGATGAATTCATTGCGTAGAATAGGATAGCCACCGTAAAATTTATATTTGTTCACTTATTCGTGAATTTTATATTCTATTTTTTACATATAATACTTTTATGACAACTCACCTGAATTGAATTTCACTATAACAGCAATTAACACAAAACACAATTGAAAAAAATCACACGAAATAAAAAGCGCGGTCACGACGTTGAAAATTACGAGTTGAACTGAGGGAAGAGAAATGCGCGCGCAGGATTATAGGTACGTGCACGATTTTGGCGCGAAGGTCAACGCATTCGAATCAATTTAAGAACAAAAAGGAGTTTAAGCAGAAATTATCGAATAAAACATGTAGACTATTTTTTTTTTTTACATTTTCGTGCTATTGAACGCTATAAGTGATTTTATCTAATGTTAATTTTGATTGATTATTAAATTTTTATTTATATCAACTGCGCGCGCAGCTATCGATAGATGTATTAATTTTTCTCTTTTATTTGAATGGTTTCTGACAAATTAAATGTTAATTTTCGCGTGGAAATGAATTATAATCGATTAGCAATCGAAGTCGGATGCGCGCGCAGCTCTGTAAAATAGTTTCGGCGCGCGAGTGTTCTTTTGTGCACGTAATATTGTTCCGTGAATATTTTTCCCGTTTTTAAGTGTAAAACAAACAGTGAAACCCTGCAGCAATGAAAATTTCAACAATTACCCGTTTTACGGTTCGTATACATATGTAACAATATCAATCTACACTTCTTTTAGCCTAAAATAAGTGAAATATTATACGCTAGCATTTCAAGGTCAGAGGGCCTTCGATTTAACGTTCGAAATTTCTCGAAATTATATAAATCATTTTCTTTCGACTTTTTAACACCGACATACAGACCAAAGACAAATTAAAATATTAAATAAATACCTAAAATTCTCGTAAGCTTCGTTTTAGTCCTCTTCTCAACTGATTGACTGTCGTATTTCTTACTTTCTGTAACGATAAAAAAGATCTTTCTAAAAAATGCTCATTTCAACGTAGAATCTGTCGTTTCTCGTTTTCAGATCTCCACGTTTTCCTTAAAACGCATATCGAAGTTCTCGCTGATAACACATCGAAAAAGGAGCGACGTTTCTTGTCGAACTAGGTAAGATTTGATATTCTTGGATTCTACAATTATTCTAGCTCCCAATATACCACTTTCTTATACGTCTATTGGTCGGTTCTAGGAATAAACAGAAACTGCTACCTGTACACCCACCCTCGGGCGTGCAGTGTGTTTTCCTTTCCAACTTGTCGGCGATCGAATATATTCCGTGTTTGTGGTGCAGTATTACGTCGCCATCGCTATAGTACTTCAATCTGCGAAACAGATACACACCATCGTGAAACAGGTATTTCAAACACTATTACTCTAAAAAATATTCTTACACTAACAACCGTTAAAATATTTAAAAAATATTCATTTTTGCCAAGTACCTGAATATTTTCTTAACACAGCAATTGGACATAATTTGCATTAATTTGAAATAAGAAAGATTTCCAATATTTTTAGGTGTAACTAGTTATGGAATAACTTTACTCCCAAAAATATTAAAAGAAATAATAAATATTTTAATTCATGTACATACTAAAATGGGTTTTATTTTATTAACAATAAATATGTATTTATGGAACTTACTTATATTGTTGGCCAGCATTCACCAAATTCTTCTCCATATTTTCCAACCAGGTTTGTTGGTGTCCAATAACAGAGCCAGGCCTGCAAATCCTGATCCAAGCAATAGCTTCTCTTGCGCTCATTTTGTAATGTTTTATTAAGTAGGCTGCGATCAGCGAACCTGTTCTTCCTAATCCAGCCTAAATGCGAAATATGTAAAAGCTCTTGAATATAGTTATTCAATTGTAATTTTCTTCGTATAAAGAGCTTGAAATTACTTTGCAATGTACCGCTATCGGTCCACTACTATTTTCACTGAGTTGTAAAAATTCATTCAGTATTCTTCTCGGTGGTACCGTGCCGTCTGGCATGAACATATCGTAATGCGTGATTCCTGCCCCTGTGAATCTATTTTTAAAGTCTTACTTTAACATTAGATTCGAAATTAAATCTGCTCGTATTGGAGAAATAGCATTGTATCGTAAAATCTGCTTCTCGATCGTCTTAAACATTTGACAATATTCAGAATTTTATACCTCGACGCTTCGTATACTTTCTTGTTCAGCCTAACCACTGTTGTCACTCTGTTCTTCAGAAAATAATCGATGTAACATTCGGGTGGATGATAAGGTGTTCCTGGCTCCGTGCTCGGACCAAGGAAAGCTAGAAATTTCTGCGGTATCAACCAATTCATATCTCCGTTTCTCATATCTTCGTACTTTTCGTATTCGTTCACGTCGAAATCGGCGAAATTGAAAAAGCCGAACGAGGCTGCCTTTTTAAGCGCATTCAAACAATCTATTTTTGTGGAAATGATGGAATTTAGAATTGAAATTGTAGAATTAACGTTAGATTATTGGAGGTTTAATGAATTTTCTTACCTAAAATATGAATGTTGTAAATGGCTGATCCCATGGAAGCATCTCTGAACGACTTTATAGGAACTTCACCGCCCATGAACAGAGTATTGTAAGCTTCTCTAGGACTCCTCTTTAAGAATAACACCGCGTAAGAAGCGACCAAATACGCGGAATTTGCTCTTTTGTGATCTCGATGTGAAGTATAGTGAACAATTTGCCTATTCTTGTTCCCTGGACTCTCCAGCTTCTTGTTTACCTTGCAGCAATATCTGTTAGCAATATCTTCTTAAAGGAGTCAAAGCTCAGTGAGCAATATTCACTATAATTACTCTACTAAATTTAACAAAATCATAACAAACATGATAGTCAAGATAAAAATCTCAGTGAGCAATACTCACTGTTACTATTTTATCAAATTTAACAAAATTACGGTAATTAGATCAAATTTTCTATTGAAAAGATATTCGCTAAAGAAGACTTCACATAAAAATGAAAAATTTGTGGAAGCAAGGTAAAAAGAATTTACCTATACAAACAGGCGATATTCAGGGGACCAAAATCATTGTAAAAATTGTTGTAAACCAATTCCTCGTCAGTTGTAAAAAAGTGAATGTAAGATGTACTTTTTACATCTTTTCGACCATTGCTCAGTGTTGCAAAATAGAATTTATCTTTTATGTACTCGCAAATGTGAGTGACGTCTGGGTGTTTGTAAACTGTAGTGATATCTAGAAACCGAAAAATTAGGAAAAACAGAGAAATCAGAGAAAATCTATTTTTTCAATTGTACCATCTGGGTTAAAGTTTTTAGTATCGTAAACGTATCGATTATTCTTTGGATATCCAGAGGTTTTCGACTCGCACATCGTGAAAGGATATCTAAATCTGTTACTCCAGCAGAAATAGTTATTTTCTATGAACTTTACACTTTGTAAAATGATCATTTAACGTGGTTCGACATGAAAGATCGAGCAATCATTTGTAAATCCATCGAGATTCACCGTTATTCAAATTTTCTTCCGATAGATCTCTGGTATTTAAACGTAGCTCACTCATATCTCGTTAATGAAACATCGAAAACACTTTGCAGGAAATAATTTGTGGATAATATCAAAGGTTTCTCTATCGAATCGTAAGATTGTAATTAACCAAGCACATGATTATCCGAACCTATAGAACAATTGCGATATAATTAACCTTAATGAAAGTGCTCTCTGTAATTTGGAATCATAAAATGGATTACGAATAATTATCGTGTAATTTGCATACCTTAGAGATTTTTCATTTCCTAACAGAATACAATCTGCCTCTAAATTTATCATTTTCCGACACGCCAAATTACCGATCTCATGTTTGCGGGATATCTGACAAGCCTAAGCGTTTTTCAAATTTTTCTTCTCTCATGAAAACGGTTTGAATAAATTCACTTTAGTGAAATCTGGAAATTAACGATAAAGCTTCGTATTTCAATTGTGTACAATTATTTATGTTGCTGATATCTTTTGTAAATTTGTTGTAGGAATTTATCAAGAGGAGAGAAGAAAGAAGAAGGATCTGCTTGAGAAATGTTGGAGCAACGAAGGAGATATTTGCAGAACGAAAGGTGAAAGGAAATTAAAGAAGTATCAACGCACGCTAGAAATGGCGAGTCGAATTTTCCTTGGCCTCTTGCTTTCTGCTTTCAATTTTGCCCGCTTTATGCATTGTGGAACTGCACGTCGATGCATGACTGAATCGTTTTTCAAGTGTTTTTGAAAATACCGAAAATATTGGTATTGAAATATAATTACACTGACAAAATTATCGAGCAACGAGTGAAAAACAGAAGGAAATTAAAATGGGAAAAGGGCGTGGTACAATAACAGGCTAACTTAATATAATAATACTAACAATCGTATCAAAATTATGGAGCAATCTATAATCATGATTCAGGGCATATTTGATATATCTTATTAACGCCTTCTGTGGTGCAGAAAAAACATGAATTTTGGGGAAGAATTAAGCTTTTAGCGAGGAGAGTAAATTTAGTAAGTAACTAAAAAAAGGGAGGAAGTTAAAATGAAAAGGAGGCATATGTAACATAAATAATAGTCTACCTTAACAAAAAAAGAGCAAAACTCTCCTCAAATACTTAAAACTCTCCTGAAATACTTGAAAGTCTCCTAAAATACTTGAAAGTCTCCTGAAATACTTAAAAACCCCCTGAAACCAAAGAAAACGTATTTCCCAAATGCAGAGAAGTACAGCGAAGCAAGAAGCAACAGTGCACTCTAATTTCAGAGATTTTTCACTTTTCTCTGCTTCACACTTCACCATCGAATTTCCCCATTCTTCGTTTATCCCGGAATAGAGTAGTATTCCTCAGCGTTCAGCTTGCATAAACCTCTCCTCTCCTCCTCTTCGCCGTTCTCCAGACACGGTACAATTTGCGAGTGCACCGGGAAGTGCTTTAACATGCAACGTGAGGCCTAACCGGTAAAGCGACTGATCGGTATTTACGATTCAAGAGAAATCTTTCGCGGGACAGCAGGCGGCTTCGTCCATCCGTCCCGTGCATCCATTCCCTGCGTCCGTCAATCCGTTATAATTTCTCCGTTAATAGAATCCGAGATTTCGTAGCGATTCCGTGCGGCGCATTCCAAATCCGCCCTGTCCACGTTCTCTCTTTTCCTCTCTGCTTACGGCTACTTCTTCTCGTCATCTCTCGTCTCTTGCTGCCCATTTTATCGCTCCGATCATTCTCCTTTCTCCAGTCTTTTGTACAGTCTACCTACATGCAGTGGTATCTTTTTCGGGGGTATTCTCGTGAATTCGTTTCTCACGTTGTCTAGTTTTCACACGGTCCTCTTCATTTGCATACGCTAGTTTCTCGCTCGGACCTTGATTTTGGGTACGTTCCGATTTCTTCGTCAAGTTTCTTTCTTCCACGTGTGGTCTTTCATTTTTCTTTTTTTCATTTTCTCGTGTTTTCAACCTTATGTCAATAACCCTGTCGCATAATTCTCACTTCAAATATTCGGATCGTTGTTGTTTCGCACATTTCCTATCCGTGTTTGCCTCGAGTTTAGAATTTTCTTACCTGAAATTCGTCGATCAAGTAGACGACAATTCCGGTTATTGACGTAATTGTCATATCCTATGAAAAATGATTTATTCTTAGTCTGGAATTTAGTAGTGTAACGAGCAGATTGTTGATACGCGATATTCATTTTGGCGAAGAAATATATGATACGATGAAGAAACTTAATTGAAAAATCGTACGAGAGGTATGAATGTAACGTGCGTCCCAATATTTAGGAGTTACGGTGTATTTTATCGTTCGATATTTTTTACGGGGCTCTCGAAATTATTATAAACAGCGTGAATTTTTATTTCGAATTGTCCTTTCAGTCTTGATCCACATTGTGGTTACTCTTCTCCTCTCCTTCCTCACATTTTTATTCCTCCCGCGAGCGTATCATCTGACGAATTTCTGATTTCCTCCTTATTTTTCTCTCTTTTCTCGTTTAATTCTTGTCTCTTCTTCATTCCGTTGCGTAAGACGTCCGCAAAGTCCCTTCATCTCTTCGATTTCTCCGTACCGTCTCCTCCCGTTCTCCATTTTCTCCTCTTTCTACCGATAAATCTGCCCCCTCTATCGCGCCACTCTGTCGCGACTCGCTTTTCCCACCTCTCTCTCTCTCTCTCCTCGTTTCTCCGCCCTCTCGATAATTCCGCTTCAATGTCCCCCCACGTCGGACAATTATCTCCTTTTCTCTCCTTTTTTTCTGTCTACCACGACTCTCCCTCGCGCATCTCTTATTCCTCGCGTTCGCGGACTCCTCTTCCTGTATTCCCCCCCTTTTTCTTCGACATTTTCTCCCTTTTTCTTCAGCTTCCTAGAGCCGCCGTCATGGAAGAATTTTCAAGGGGTAACTGATAATCTTTATCGCTGGTACGAAGAAACTTTGCAACATGCGAGTCTCTTGAAGAATGATACATTGTTATTACGTCGGAAAATTGGGAAATTAGTAAATTGAGGTATTTGCAGTGTTAATTCTGAATTAGCGGGAAACTAGAATGATTTAACAAATTCTGAACTTTCGTCCAGTGATGCACTCAAAGCCCAAAGCTGCGGTAAGCTCGGTTAATGTTAATTCGTCTGCGGCGTTAATTTCGAATAATTGGGAGAGCTAATTAAAGGGAAAATCGGAAGATTTGATATTGGTATAGTTGAAGAAATTCCAAACTCTCCGATAGATCTTCTAATTAATACTCGAGTCGCGTAAGAGGTTTCAGCACCCAATTCGTTTCGGTTCTCTTCGTACCACGGCGTGTCCTCCTCTGCGGTTCATTTGCTTTTCATTTCCTTCCAGTGAAGTCATTTCGCTGGGGAATTGTTTGTATGTCTAATAGAAGTATACCCAGAATACTTTCGACCTAACATTCACCCAGAGCACCGAATAACGACCCTCGAATTCGTGATCGAAACGTTACTCACACATCTCTTCCGTACTAACGAAGATTAATCCAAGACTTTCACCACCTGATTCCACGCAATTGTTCCTATTCGAGGCTAAATTTCATCTGGTATCGTCTTTTTCCTCCACACTAAATTCCCACTGAACCATCCTCGTCACGTTCGGCGAAAAGTGAGACGCAGAAGGTACCACAGTATACCGAGAATCGTTCCTTCCACTGAAACAATTTCGCGACCGAAACAGCGCACAGAAGGAAATCCCTCGAAGGACATCTCGATGACTCGTCCACGGTAGAGTTGGTCGGTCGTTAAAAATTTCCAGAAGGTGTCCGTGTGGCTGGCTGATGCTCGCAACATCCTCCTCCCTCTGCGGTCGTGGTCGTGGTCGTCGTGTGAGGCACGAAGATCCGCTCATTGTCTCTCTAATGCATATTGACTATTAACAGCGAGCCCGTGTTCCTTATACGCGTGGATATAACTACGTCACGTCCTTATTCGCTGGGCATCGTCTGATCGGCCACGCTCATCTTTCGAACCCAAGTCCATATTCGGCTCTCCCACCCACCGACAATGCCAGCCGCATTCATAAACCTATCGCTACCTGTTTGGCCGTCAAACGAATTAATACCAATGGTATTTACGAGCTGTGAAAACGATCTCTCGGGAGCAATTCTAATTTGCAATTTTTCTCGCCATCGAAAATCAGTGGTTCGCCAAGAGTTTGTTCTGTAGTACTTAATTAGCGGCGTTTGAGGATCAGCTGCGTTTAAACGACCCAGTTCTCCAAAAAAATGAATTTTTGGGAGTTCTCGTGAATTACTCGCGGTTTAAGTTGGGTAAAAATTTGCCTTTGGAACATTGCTGTTTCGAGTTGGTAGGGTTTTTTAACGTTAGAGTGCCGATCGCTAATTTTGTTAACTTTGAGTTTTGGAACGCACGCTCAGTCGTTCCAGGGTAGTGCTTAAATTGAAAATCGATCGCAACGGTGGAATTCTCCATATTCGCGTGATTTGTCTTTTGGCGCCATTTTTCCTTCCTCGGGTAAGAGGAGTTACGATCCTGCGGACAGAGAAAGAACGCATTTTCAGTCAATTTCTGAAATTCGAAGGTTCGAAAGATTCCGAAAATTTGCAAGAACGGCGTTCAGGCCGAAATTTGCTCGATTTTCCAAACTGAAATTTCCGAGTGACTCATTCTCGCGGCTTTATCGTCACACCTCGTCTATAATCGTGGGACGTGTGTACGCGTTAGCAAAATGGGAATCCAGTTGTCGGTATTCATCGACATTATCCAGCCCGCGTAACGTTACCCGAGATACGTTGCGCTTAAAATAGATCGTGCACGATACTCGTTGGAAACGTAATTAGCCGACTAGAAGTCGTCTAGCCACGAGAGAGGGAGATACTTTTCTCCTGATTCCGTTTTTCTCCTTTTCTCGATCGGCCTTGCTTTGTTGTGCTCCGATTCGCCGCGTGTGAGTTGCTT